CTGAAGCTGGAAAACCTGTGTGGGTTCCAGATTTCTGTAGTTCATCACGGGCAGGTCACTTCCCTGTGTCTTAATTTCCTTAGCCCTGAAGTAGAAATTAATGTTTAACTTCCTTTCTAAATTGTCCCAAGCCCCACTGTGATTAAATGTGCTGTGTTGTATGTGCTGATATTTATAGCATAAGACCATAGTGAAAATGAAAATTAAAAGTAGCATTGCAAAACCATGTCTTTGGAACAGAGGGGATGGTTGGGCTGTTGGAGAGTGTTTATTCACCATTGCAGGGAGATGGCAACTGGTCCCACAAGCAGCTTGGGAAACACGTGCACTCAGGCCTGACAGTCCCTGGAGTGGAAGTGGCTCAGCCAAATCCTTGTCTCACGCAGGCAGAGCAGGGCTGTGCTTGCACACACCCAGAAATTATCCCATCCACGGCGAGCTGCCTGCTCAGGTGTTCCCATTGTTTGGAAATTTGTTGTTGGGAAAATATTCCCAACCTCCCAGCACATAGTTCTCAGCTGTGTCTCCCTGGGTTGCCAGTCCCTTGAGGCAGAGGCTGCCTGGCTTTGCCTCCCACTGTCAGCACTCAGTTAAATGGGTACCGACGGTTTCGTGCTGACTCAGAGCTCACAGAGCCACTAGTTTTTTTTCTCGTGGAGCATCCCTGTGTAGAAAGAGCTATTTTTACCTGAACCTGAACCTTTCTAGCATTATTCCTGACAGGAAAAAAAATAAACCCTTTGTGCTTCAAGTCAAACCCCAAAGAAGGGACCTTTCCTCGGAGGTGCCTGTGATCCTCTCAGCCTTCCAGGAACTGAGGAACGGCAGCGTCTGAACGTGCCTCTGTCAGTGCCTCTCTTCCTTCTTGGTTACACTGGGTGGTGACCTGCTGGCAGGAGAAACCCCTCTCTGAGGTACAAAGGGTTGGTGAGTCCATGTAAGAAAAGAGCAAATGAGACAGAGGCAGTAGTATCTTCAGAATTACCTTTTCAGGGAACAGTTGTAGGGTCAAGCTGGTAAATTTTTGTTTGGAGGGAATGGAGAGAAAAATAAGAGCAGTGGAGTCTAGTTCCAATACTCAGGAGCTTCTTGTGGCTGTTAAGTACCAAGTCTACAGTTCTCCCCCTCCCCTCCTCTCCTTTGCCTCCACTGTTGGGGGATTTACTTTTCCACTGGATGTACACAGGCAGCTCCTGAGCGTGGGAAGTGTGGTTTGAATAGCAGCTCCCTGGCCATAACCCCTGCCAGATGACTGAACTGCAGGACATGCAGCAGCAATTGAGGCTGAGGAGGATGGTTTCCTCCTCTGGGGGGTGTTTGGGTGGGAAGCGTAAGGGGTTTTTATTTTTGTGCTGCTGAATTGTTGTAATTCCAGCCATGCACGGCAAAACCTGGGCAGTGCTGGCTGTGGAGGTGCTTGTGCACCTGTGCAGGGTGGGACAGGCATCCAGAGGCAGGAATAGACACCAGGCCATCCTGTTTGGGCAATTCCACTCTTCCTGCCTCCTCACCGCAGTCGGCGTTTCAGCGGCTGAGCCACAAAGGGAGGAATAAAGACAAATGAGTTCTCCTTTTGAAAATACCTGTACTTAAAAGAGCCTCCCTCCTCCGTGGCGTTCATTATGTGTCTGTTTATTCATCCTTTGCTCACATGGTAATTTGCTCCTGCAGAAATGGATCTCAGCTCCACCCTGTGCTGGGACTGAGCCACCTCCGCTGGCACTGCTGGAGGTCCTTTACCAGGAGAAATTATCTGTGCACATCCATGATGGGACTGCCAGAGCTACATCTGCCCACAGCTGCTCCTGGTGCCATCACTGCCTTTGCAGGAGCTCATCCCAAATCCCAGTGGGTCTCTAATTCTGCCCTGGCTTGTGCTCTCCATCTCTTCAAGAGCTGGAAATATTCTGAGATGTCCCCAGGTGAAAATGGGAAGAGGAGCTGTTGATTGGGAAGAGGCCAAAGCAGTGTCAGTGATCCTCTAATGTTACAGATTTGTGGCCGTGGGTTGAGCTGGAGCAGCAGCTGCTGTGGTGTCACTTTGGTGTTAATTGGGGAGTGGGTGAGTGCAAGGAACAGAAGTTGCTGTGGAAGAGGAGAGAGAAGCCAGGGAGGAAGAGGCTGGCACAAGTGCCAGGCTCCTTCACTGCAATGCCTTGTGCTCAGCCCTCCTTCCTACAAACTAACCCCATTTCTGCTGCCCCTCTCTCCAGCTGAAGGTGCTGCAGGTTTGGGTCTCCTGGGCAAGGGGTCTCCTTTATGGTGTTTAGTTGTGCCAGAACCTCAGCTCCTGGTCTCAGGTAACTCAGGTTTCCATGCCCACCTGGAGCTGTGCCCTGCATTCATTCCCCTCTGTTGTGCCAGCCCAGGCTGGGGTTCAGGAGCCTGGGCTGTCACTGGCAGGAGTAATTGCAAAAATTGATTCCTGGGGAATGCCTGTAGCGGGCAAATCCCTTTGACAGACCACGCAGCCATCAGATTCTGCATTTATTTGAGTCAATCAATGCTCTCATGCATATTTGGGTCATAAATGCTCTGATATAAATTGCATTTATTCTTGTGACAGCTGTATTCCGTTACCTGTTATTTATTTGGCTCTGTTGTCCTCTGGTTTTACACCTTGTGGAGCTGTCAAGTCAGCTGCTCCCCACTGACAGAGCTCACAGCTCAGAGCCTTCCAAAAATAACCCCTCCAAAGGGATTTCAGCAGCAGCAGGGTGGACGTTGTTGGAAAGTCATTGGACAATCTTTTTTTTTGGGTTGTTTTATTGGAAAGAGGAGCTTTGTGCTTTTTGCCTGCTTTTTTTTCCTGAATTCCAGAATTAGACTTTTCATTTACGATCCAGAGGTCATTGATGCTGATGATCCCACTGATTAATGTGAATTTTGGATCACACCCCACATGTCTCAAGGCTGAATTAATCAGGTTATTCGGCATTTGGAATGGTGGGATGCTGACTTGGACGTTCCTGATTTTCCCTTGGAAGCTTTTTTAGCTTCACATCTTTTCACATTGTAAAAATGGCAGAAGATGTGATTTGGAGATGAATGAACTGCAGTGTCCTTCCAAAGGAAAGGTCAAATTGCAATGGGCACAGTGCTCTGGGCAAGTCAGGCATTTTCTGCCCCATACCCCTCATGCCAGGCTGCTGCACCAGCCTTGCAAGGTGCCAGTGGCTTTGGTGTTAATTCAGGAAAGCATTTAATCATGGAATTGATGGCTCTGAAGTGCCCAATACAAGCATGTGCTTAAGTGCCTTGTTGGAGCAGGGCCAGTGCAGATGTACCTTTGCAGAGCAGAGATTTGTGAGCCACTTCTGGTCTAGTTTCTGTGTAAAACAGAGATGGAAACACTCGTAGTTTTATCCAACAGGTTTTATTTGCACAAGGATTTTGGGATGGATGCAGGCACTGAGTGTTCTGTCAATAGGGTTTATGTGTGAGCTAAACAGCAACACTGTCCATGGCATTACTGCTGAAATATGTGTGATATAAAGCTGCACGTGCTGCTTTTCAGGTATTACCATTTTTCTCTTATCTCTATTTATTTTACTCTAAATAGAAAAAGAGTGAATCTGTAATTTAGATCAAATATCACGGTGGAAAATAGAAACACATTCATATGGCTCACAAAATATAGATACAAATGGGTATGTATTATTTATAAAGCAGCTTTGACATCTTAATATACGGAAAAAAGATGAGACATTTAGTCATAGTTCAGCATTCTGCACGTTCTGGAACTATCTTAAATCATCATCCATGAAAAATTCGTAATTTGGATCTTACTTTAATTTTATGCTCACATTCCAGTGGGGGGGGGGGGTGTCCTTTGCTCTTGTCTTTTTTTTTAACCTATTCTATCCCCCCACCCCGTTTTGTACAATTAAAAGCAGACAGCTGGGGTTGGGCAATGCCAAAGGCCCACCCTGCCCTCCAAGAACTACCTGATAATTAATGAGAACCAGAACTCTGACTAAAGAGGGATCCCCAGGTGTTCTGGTGTCCCACCCAAGTCCTTCTGGGTTTGCTGAACACAGTGAAAGTTAGAAAGTTCGTGCTGCACAGCAGTAAAACCCGTGTAGTTCCTCTAATGTGGACAGACAAAATCCAGGTATAAATCAGCTTAAAACCTGCCAAGTTGCAAATGAATCAGGAATGTGGTGTGAGTGCCCCCTTTCAGGAGTTCTCAGGGGTGTCAGTGGTCAGGTTGTTTTGAGCTGGGCTGGAGGAGTGAGCTCTGAATTGAGGTGATGCTGCAGAGGTCACTGTGTCAAGAGCCTCATTCCTATATGACAGAAGATCCTGGGTTTATGCTTTGGGGATTTTTTGGGGGGGAAGCAAAGGGAAAAGGTGAACTTGTAGTCCTTCAGCTGAGGCCATTCCTTTGTTGCTCAGTGATGGGTTTGGATACAAGCTCAGTGTTGGCAAAAGGACCTAATGAAGAGATGGGAGTTTTTAACTACAGGGCTGATGCCAGTGGGGTGCCAGTGGTGTTTACTGGTTTCCCTCACTCTTTCATGGTTTCTTTAAAATACTGCTTGGAAGGATGAAAGAACCTCAGTGTCTATAGCCCATTTCTCTCAGGTCTCTGCTGCAAGAGCCAAGAGGGAGCCCTTGACTTGTTTTCTCATTGCTTGAAACTCCTTCCAACCTCCACTTCACCTTCTCAGTAAGGTTTAGGCAGAAGCTCTTGATTTATTCCCTCCTGGTTTCGCCCATCCCCAGATCCTGAGCTCACAGTGGACTCCCAGGGGCTGGTGCTTTCAAGTAATACAAGTTCATGGATCCGAAGTTTCTCTGGGAATGAAAGATCTGTTTGATTAAGGAAACACTGACTTCTGAAAGCCCATCAGCCTGTGCAGCTCCGTGAGGCAGGGCTGCAGAATATCTAATTAAATGGAACTGCTCTCTGGAGGATTTGGTTTGCAGAAAATTAGTTTTCATGTTCTCGGTCTGATGTTTATTAAACGTTTCTTCCCTTTTTCTCTCCTGTGCAGTTTTCATCTGCAGTTTCATGGTGGCGGCGCCGATCTTTGGTTACCTTGGTGACCGTTTCAACAGGAAGATCATCCTCAGCTGTGGGATCTTCTTTTGGTCAGCTGTCACTTTTTCGAGCTCCTTCATCACTGAACAGGTAAGATCCTTTGCAAAGGCACGTTGTGTCCTGGAAAGGCGGACGGTGTGTTCCTGAAAAACTCCCCGTCCCGGAGCGCTCGAGGGGAACGTGTCCCCCTGGTTTGTGTTTAACATTTAGCATGTTGCATTCACCCCTTTTGTGGGTGAAGTGTGCTCTGTGTAACTGTGTTTGCTTAACTGTGAAAGCTGCTGTTCTTTGATCGTGCACATTCATAAAAAATAACAGATGAAGCGTATCCGAGCAAGAGTTTCTGTTGACATAAGGGCTTTGTTTTGAGGGAGATCCTAGAGAAGCTTTAAAAAGGCTTTACAGAAGTCCTGGGAAAAGAAACGCGGGGCTGTAAGTGGTTCTTTTGTCTTCTGATGTGTAATAGAAGCCATTGGAGTTTTTTTTGGGGAAGTCTGCTGGTGGTTGTGGAATAACAAAACGCAGCCAGCAGTGGTTTTACACGTGGACTTTGGCTCCTGTCCACGAAGGCAGAGAAGGTGGATGATAACACAGAGATTAGATGTAGTTTCAGCTCCTTTAACACTAGCTGATGGGTATATCTGGGGAGCTCATGGTGGAATTGTCAGGCTCACTTAATTTGGCCAAGCTCTGCACAGCTCCTCTGCTGCTCCCAGGACAGCCCCAGGACCCCGTTCCCAGGACTCCTCATTGCATCCCTTTTCCTGCCTGTCACAGCCACGCAGAGGAAACAATGATCTGGCGGTTTCTGGGGGAAAATATCCTCTTGTTTAAATCATATTATAGAGGAGATTTAATTGCTGCAGGTGGCAACATTCCTGGTGAGACAAATCACAGCTCCTGGCATCGTCAGCCTGGTTTCCCCCAGGGAGGGAGGGACATTCCTCATCCTTTCTGCCCAGCTGCGTTCCAGGGATTGCAGCCTTGTGGTCACGCCTAAGGAGTGACAACCTGGGACTGAACCTCCCCACCCTGGTTCCTCCTGCCCACCCACGGGCTCTGCAGGTTCTAATAAAAGACAATTCCCACCCAAAGCAGGCAGTGGCTCTTCCATGTAGGTCTGGCTTTCACCTTGGATTGGCTGGTGCTGCATTTCCAGAGCAAAATGCACGGTGGCCAAATGTGGAAACCTTTAACTCAGTAAATTATTCTGGTTTATAGCTGACCAGGAAGCATCCTTTCCAGAGGAAGAGAACCTCTCATATAAAACAGAGAGGCATTTTTGGGTTTTCTTTCTTTTTTTCCCTTTTTTTTTTTTTTTTTATTCTTTAAATGTCTCTCATAACATACTGCAAAAGCAGCTGTGATCAGAGCCCAGAGAGAGAAGCATCTGTGAAAGAACTGATAACTTGCTTAGAAACACTTCTCATGTTATGGACATACATCATGCTCAGGATTTCCTCAACCTCTCTGCAGTGGACATGGTCCCACAGCTGGAAGTAGGGGGCCACTGGAACTGGACTGATGTTTTCAGAGTTGAATTTCAGTTTAAGTATTTTGGGCTTAATACCTGAAGTAGTTCAGGGATTATTAATATATATAATTAATATATAGGGTTGTTTGTATACAAGAGCTCAGGGTGGAAGTGCATACTGTTAGCCAAAGAAAGGAAGAATAATGCTTTTAAAGCTGGATTATGTTTGGAATCCAAACCCCAATGTTTTGGATGCCATAAGAGAGACAAAATCAAAATAGCCAGGCCTGTGTCAATTCATACTGGATTTGCATCAGCACTAACTCTGGACCCAAGCTACCATTTTGATAGAAACCAGCCTAATACTTAGAAAAATCCCGTCCTGGTTTTCCTGGGATCCTGAACTCCACCTGAAGACTTAGCCATTAATCCAGAGGTCTCATGCTCAGCTCTTGTAATCGACTCCAGGAGGTGATGGAGAACTTTGCAGCTGCTGTAAGGATGTGCTTTACCCAGTGGTTCCAGCAGTTGATTAAGGTCATAAGAATAATCCCAACTTCCCAATTTGGTATCCATGTTGGAGGCCTGGTCTCTAGTGGGGAGGTCATGCTACGTTGAACAAGGTGAATTCCTGACACAGTGATGAGAAAAAGGGGCAGGGAAGAGCTGCTGCAGCTTTTTTCCTCCTGTAGTGACTAACTGGGCATCTCTCCTGATCTTTGTCCTCTGGGATTCATTTAGGGAGCAGAACACTGGCTATTCTCTCACATTTTTTCCTCCTTTCCTTTAAGGCTCTGTGTGTTTGTCAGGGAGGAGGGTTGGGAGCTGAAATATCAAAACCTTTGGTGGCACCAATAAAAGCACTAGTAAAACCACTGTGAGTAGAGAAGTGCTCCCATCCAAGCCCATGTGAAAACAGTGCTGGAAGAAGCAGGTTGGCAGAGGCTGAGCCCGTTGAAGAACTGCACAGCAAACTCCTTGATGTGGCAACACCAAAAATCCTGAATTAGGTGAGAAACAGAAGCCATTCAGTATAAACAGCAAATTGTCTTCAGGGACTGTCTTTCTTCAAATTTGGACAGTGGCTGGTGCCTCCTGCCTCCTGTCAGTGAGTAATTAGATAGAACACACAGCCACGTAGCTCAAATTTGGAGGGCAAATGGGAAGAGACAGCTTAACAAAGGCACAAAGCAGCTGCAGAGCTGCTGAACTCTGAAGGCACCCAATTTGTGAAGGTTTTTGGCAGCCTGTTGGTAATATTGGTTCCTGGCTAAAATTTGGACGCTAAAGGAAACCAACAGAAATGCTGTTATATTATGTGAGTAAATATGTACATTATTTGTAATTCATTGTGCAAACAAGTGCACAGCAAAGGACATGTTAATTATTATCTGCCCTGCTGCCTTCCCACAGCTTCCCATGGGCTCTGGAGTATCCTTTGGGTCACCTGTCCCAACTGTGCCCCCCAATTCCTGGTGCCCCCCAGCCCCTCACTGGAGGGATGAGGAGCAGAACAGACCCTGACTCTGTGTAGGCACCTGAAAACATCCCTGTGTTACCAACACTGTTCTCAGCACAAATCCAAATCACAGTCCCATAGAGCTGCTGGGGACAAAATTAACTCCATCCCAGCCAAAACCAGCACAAAAGGATTGGAGTTTAACAACAGTGCAGCTAAAGTACTGTCTAAATGCTGTTTTATGCTGTTTGGTTTAAAAAGAGTCGCTGAAAACTGCCAGGTAAATCAGGAATTGGGTGTATGTGCTGTGCAGACATGTAGTTGCTAGAGAGCACTGCATTATTAAAATATCCTTAGTTATTTATTATCAAACATCTCTTGGTTCTTAACATGGAATAAGGGCCATCAAATAAATGAAGAATGAATCTCTCGTCTGCTGGCAGCTACTAAATAATAGGCTCTGAAAAGGAAAAAAATGAAAATCAGGCCAAAATTTAAGGGTTGTTAAAGAGTATATAGGAGGTGATAGAGAAAACAGCAAAATAGAAACAGGACAATTACATGTTTGTAAGTTTGGTTACTGTTCATGAGGTCTTAAATTACATTTAAAACAAATCAAAATAAGAACCCAAATAAGCACTGTATCACAGAGTAATTCCATAAATACACCTGGTTCCATGGATAAAAATAGCTCGTGGCAAATGTAACTGAAGAATATCATCAGAAGTAACAAGGCTGAGACAATATCGAAAAGGTCACCTTTTATTCTGTCAAATAATGTGATCATTTATGTTAGTGCAGAATTCCTCTGTAGGAAAAAAAAAAGATGTGAGCCCTCCTTTCCGCTCTATAACACTGTTTAGCACTTCGTAAAATAAAAGTTCCATCAAGAAATCATTAACAAACTTGTTAATTAGCCTAAAATTAGGTAAAGTTGGTACATATTTAGACATATCTGTAGATTAACTCCATTTATAGAAACGTCAGTAAAGTATGTATATGTCTTAATTTGTATTTTGGAAGTACAAACACCTGCCTTTTAATCAGTCCTGCCTCTGCCAGCTCACGAATTTGGGCACTTTCACCTGCTCATTTCTGAGTCAAAGGGTTGCTGGTTTACCCATGAGCAAAGGCTTCTGCTCAGGAGAGATGCTCTGTGAGGTTGGGACACCCAGGGTGCCTCAAAACCAGCCAGAGCAGGCTGTGGGAACGTGGGTTTGCTGGAGCTCCACATGCCAGAAAGTTGGGAAATGGCAAACCAGGGTAAACCAGGAATGTGCTTTTGAATCCTTCCATTCTTGGTAGATATTTCTGTTCAAATGTTGATATAGTTAACAGGATAAAGCCTTTATGCTCCCACTGCAAGTGAGCCTGGATAGGTATTTCTTCTTGTGTTGTTTTCTTTTCCTTTCCTTTTGATTTATCTCTAAAAGAGGAAGCAAATAGTCCACTGTGGAATTCCACTTAGCCTGCAGTACTTGCTCATGTCCTGTCTTTCAGACTTGCCAGATGTATTTTTATTTCCAAAGCTTGTCTTTCGAGGGGAGCCTAAAAGAGAAGCACCAAATGACGTGCAGGGTGGAACAATTGGTTAGCTGGGTTAATTTTAAAAAACATAAACATAAACCAGCCACCCCCCTACACACAATGATTCACTCCAAGGGGGAAAAAAAGCCTTTAGTCTTAAATGCCCTGGCAGAAGTTGTAACATAAAACACACTCCTGTGCCTGTGCTGAGATAAATCCACAGTCTGAAAAACAGAAGCAAACAACACTAAAATCCCCAGGCTGTCCTTTTGTGTGTAAGGAGGGCACTGGGTGTTTTCTTTGAAGTCACCATGAATTACTGGAATGTTTATATCCCACTCTTCCATCCTATTATTTTGGAGCAGAGCTCTCTTTTAGAAAGGAGGCAAGAGGGTTTCTCCCAGAGCTTTGAGCAGTCAGCACGTGTGTTCAGTGCAACTCAGGCAGCTCCTGACAGGTCCTGTGGCTGCTGCTGAAGTGGTGCTTGAGCTACCACGGGCTCTTTGTGGCCAGAGCTGTTGGTTGGCTCTGCTGTGCTTTGCCAGCCTTGGATGTGGCACTGGAACCCTGCAGACCAGTTGGTGCTGTTGGCATTTGGATTTCTTTGCCCTTTGCCAGACTGCTCAGGAA